TACCTCTGCCCTTCAGTGTCCCCTGCCTTTCTGTGACTTAACTAGCTCTCCGAGCTTCGGGTCCCTCACCTGAACAATAGATTCCATGCTCTGAGTCTAGGGAATCAGATAATGTGGATCCACATCTCCCGGAAAACTGGAAAGCGCTCTTCAAATGCTGGAGTTAGTGCTACTGAAGGGCAATGTCCAATCAGAATGCTGAGAACTTTGCATCGGGCCAGGAAAAGGAATGAGAAACCCAGTCACATGGGTCCCTTGGGGGGCAAGCTGGGTCGTCTGGAGAATACACGTGCCAGCCTGTTGCACGCGTTGCAGACGAGCGCTCCGATTCTGACCTCTCTGACTCCTTCGCCAACTCGTGGCCCTTGACAAGTTTATCACGGTCAAGAGAAGGACGTTCTATCTCTTCGGTGTCAGAGGTTTCCCTCTCCGCTACAGTAAGCGCAGAAGCCAAACCCAGCCCCCTCCACCGAAGGAACAGCCAACAGCTCTGAGCGCAGAGTCCTCCGGATCGGATCGGATCGGAGAGGCAGTGGGGAAAATCTACCCATGAATATTCATTTGCTACTCATTTAGGAGCGTTCTGTGTGAAGACCCTTTGAAAGCTGCTGGGAATTGGCATAAAAGGGTTTGATTAATTCCTGAGTCAGCTGGCGCCTACCCCAGAACACACGCAATGGTTGTCATCGAGAGCTGGTTTACTAAAGAAAAAGTCTCTGCAGATGTGTGGGCTTTGCAACGCTACAGCTGCCCACTCTCCAGCAAGAATAAAACAGACTCTGGGGCTGGGCTGGGCCCTCGAGAACGAAGGCACAGAACCAAACACCAAATGCAACTTCAGCTCCCTCCGGGAACATCCTGCAGGCTTGCGTCCGAGATGTCACGTCTGAGCAGGGAGACTCTCTCCTCTCCGCTCCATCGGCGGTGCTGTCCCCGACAGCATCAAGGAAGTGCTGGTAGGCACCTCCCAGGAGGGAATTCATTACACAGCTTGCCACCCAGCCATGTCTCCCTGCTGTGGTGGCCTGCTTTTAGAAAGGAGTTTCTTGGGGCGCCTGGGTGGCTCAGTCGGTTGAGCGTCCGACTTCGGTTCAGGTCATGATCTCACCGTTCGTGGGTTCGAGCCCCGTGCCGGGCTCGGTGCTGACAGTGTAGATACAGCCTGCTTTGGATCCTCTGTCCCTCTCTCTCTCTCTGCCCCTCCCCCACTGGTTCTCTCCCCCACCTTCAACTAAATTAACATTTAAAAAGATACATTTCTCCTTTCTTAAAGACTCGACTATTTAATTTTATTTTTTATAAAGCTTGTTTATTTGAGAGAGAGTGAGCAGCGGAGGGGCAGAGAGAGGGAGAGAGAAAGAACCCCAAGCAGGTTCTACCCTGTCAGTGCAGAGCCCAACACGGGGCTTGAAGGCACAGACATGAGATCATGGCCTGAGCCAAAGTCGAACACTTAACTGACTGAGCCACCCAGGCGCCCCGAACTTTTTCATTATTATTATATTTGTTATGCTCATCTGTGATCAGTGAGTATGGTTCGCTGAAAGCTCAGATGACAGTCAGCAGTTTTTAGCAATACGTTTTTTTTTCTTTAATGAAGGCATGTACGTCCAGGTTTTTTAGACATCATGCTATCACTCAATAGACTACAGGATAGTATGAACATAACTTTTATATGCACTGGGAAACCAAAAAATTCATTTTGACTCTCTTTATTGAGATGTTTGCTTTACTGAGGCGGTCTGGAACCCAACCCACAGTGTCCCTGAGGCACGCCTATAATGATGCCAATGGTGTAGTAACAATACCACTAAAAATGATAACAGCGTTGACTGAGTACTGTACTTCAGCTTCCGTGTTTTCCTCAGTCATTTAACTACCCCAACAACCCTTGGAAGGAAGGTATAATATTTATCGCCAATTTAGTGATGAGGCTCAGAGAGGCTAATTAATTTGCCTGCGGCCGCATAGCTAGTGTATGATGAAGTGATCAGTAAATCTTCAAAAAGTTCCTGGCTTTGTGAAGAGAGAAACCCCTTTTAAAAATCTATTTTTCTGAAGCGCCTGGGTCAGGCGCTCGGTCAGTTAAACAACAGACTCTTGACTTTGGCTCAGGTCATGATCTCGTGGATCGCAAGTTTCGAACGCTGCGTCAGGCTCTGCACTGACACTGCAGAGCTTGCTTGGGATTCTCTCTCTCCTTCTCTCTCTGCCCCTCCCCCTTTTTCTGTCTCTCAAAATAAATAAATAAACATTCTTTAAAAATCTGTTTTTCTGAATCGTCCTGTGCCATGCACACGAACTGTGTTTAGCTAGAACTCCACATGGGTTGTCTGGGGAACCTCTGTGGGGAATTCCTGTGGAAGAGATGCAAACTAAAACCAGAAAACGTGACGGGGGGTGTCCCACCCAACTCACACAGACTGTCAGAGGTCCACAACGAGGCCACAAACCCTGACAACCTGCTACCCAGATACATCATTACCTGTTGCCCTTATTCATGGTTTCAGAACACTTTCATGTTTATACCACATGGCAAACCCCTCAAGAAAAAGGGGGGTGGGATAAACTTACGTAGCTGACACTGTTAAAACCTCACCGACAATCATTTACCTGGCTGCCCCTTTTTAACAGGAACAGACCCCAAATTTTGTTCACTCTCCCCAAAGGATTCCATGCACTTCAGGGATCAGTTAAAGCCTCTGGGGATTGGTTTAGGATGGACAAATGAACCAATGCTGGCCAATGAGACACAGAGGAAGGCTTTCAGAAGACTTCTGGAAATGTTTTCTTCAGCTCTTAAAATGATGCGTGAGAGAGCAAGAGTACTTTTTTTCCTGCCTCTGCACATTGTTGACTATATGTGAAGGCTGGAGCTGTGGCAGCCATATTGGCACCACGGGAACCAGACAAACCGGCATGCTGTAGATGGAAAGAATCTGAGTCTTTGCTGATACTGTTGAGTAGCTCAATTAACTGATCCTGCAGATGTCTTTCTGCCGGATTTCGTAACAGATGAGATCCTGAGTCCCTTTATTGTTCAAGCTTTGATGCATTCTGCCATGAGTATTTGTACATGAAATGCCACTGTGCTCGTTGCTGGCAATGTTCTCCAGATATGGAGGGAAGATATGGAGGGAAGTACATTTTGCTACCATGCCACTGTCCATAGTCCACCCATGGTCTCCCCTTTCCCCTGGCTCTCCCTGCTGACTCCCTTTCTCTGGTTCCCGGTCCAGCCCTCAGACCCCAAGCACAAAGCGCAGACATCTGATCACCTGAGCCTGACTCCTCTCCAATGTCAAGTTGTGGGTTTCCTCAGAGCCTCAGATGACCTGTCCCTCGCTCTCTGGGTCAGTCAGTGGACACAGAGGTGGGGTGGCACTGGTGGCCGTGCTGAAAAAACTGTACGAATTTGAACCCAGCGCTGAGTAGGGAAAAGCTCAACGGTGAGGAATTCTCGAGGAAAAAGAAATCAGAGGCTATCAGTGTCTGTGCCAACAAACCCTGCTTGCGATGCAGGGACAGCAGTGTAAGGAATGTGAAGAGGCAGGACACACGCAATCATAAAATTCATTTGTTTTGTAGAAGGTACTATTTCCTGAGCGCTTACCGTATGAGGGGCAGCACGCTACGTGATTTGGAGATGACGTCTCCTTTGCTCCTTATGACATCCTGTGATGTAGATATTTCAGTGTGTCTACTTCAGAGAGGAAAATCAAGATTATCTAAGTCTCCCAGCTGTGTGCTGCTGGTTAGTGGCAGAGCCAGGATTCAATCCAACTTCAGCTGACTCAAGAGCCCATGCACCACAAACTACCGCAATGGATAGCTTCATTCATTCCTTTGTTCATTTACCAGTTTGGGTTTTTTTTTTTTTTTTAATTTTAGGGAGAGAGAGAGTGAATGAGCAAGCAGAGGAGAGAAGCAGAGAGAGAGACAGAGGGAGAGAGAGAGAATCCCAAGCAGGCTCTGCACTGTCAGCACAGAGCCCAATGCGGGGCTTGAACCCGTGGCCCTGAGATCATGACCTGAGTTGAAGCCAAGAGTTGGAAGCTCAACCGACTGAGCCACCCAGGCGCCCCTTCATTTACTGTTTCAATAAGAATTTACCGAGCACCAACACTGAGCCAGCCAGGATTTGAGTTCGACAGTGAAGACATAAAAGACAAGTAAGACAGAGTCTCTGTCCTTATGGAGCTAAGGGGCCAGCAGTGACATGGCTGGGCCAACATCTCCATTTGTACCACAGAAAGACCCCCAGGCCTCATGGAGCACAAAAGGGGCAGAGACGCCATAGAAGGAGTCCTGGACGAGAGGAGATCTCCTTAGTTTTTTGGTTTCTTTTTAGAATCATTCAACATTCTCACAATGTTGAGAATGTTATACATTCTCAAAATACAAATCAAGACCACAATGAGATCCCACCTCACACCTGTCAGAATGGCTCACATTAACAACTCAGGCAACAACAGGTGTTGGCGAGGATGCGGAGAAAGAGGAACCCTTCTGCATGGCCAGCGGGAATGCAAGCTGGTGCAGCCGCTCTGGAAAACAGGATGGCAGTTCCTCAAAAAACTAAAAATAGAACTACCCTACGACCCAGCAATTGCACTACTAGGAATCTATCCAAAGGATACAAACATGCTGATGCGAAGGGGCACATGCACCCCAATGTTTATAGCAGCACTATCGATAATCGCGGAACTATGGAAAGAGCCCAAATGTCCATTGACTGATGGACAGATAAAGAAGATGTGGTATATCGGGGCGCCTGGGTGGCGCAGTCGGTTAAGCGTCCGACTTCAGCCAGGTCACGATCTCGCGGTCCGTGAGTTCGAGCCCCACGTCGGGCTCTGGGCTGATGGCTCGGAGCCTGGAGCCTGTTTCCGATTCTGTGTCTCCCTCTCTCTCTGCCCCTCCCCCGTTCATGCTCTGTCTCTCTCTGTCCCAAAAATAAATAAACGTTGAAAAAAAAATTAAAAAAAAAAAAAAGAAGATGTGGTATATATACACAATGGAATACTACCCGGCGACCAAAAAGAATGAAATCTTGCCATTTGCGACAACATGGATGGAGATCTCAGTTTTAAACAATAGTTGAGAGTAGCTAAGGGGCTGTGGGGGGAGCCACGTGGCAGAAGGGACAGAACAGCAAAGGCTCTGCTGGTCCCTCTCTCTCTCCATGAGGTCTCAGGTCCCCTTCCTGTGATTTCTCCAGCACAGTACTCAGACTTCTTACGTGGGGTCTGGCTCTCCCTAGAGCAAGTGCCCCCAGGCAAGGGTCTTCAAAGACAGTTTCAAACAGACACGTCATTACGTTTGCCATATTCTCTTGGGTAAAGCAGTCACAGAGCCTGTCCAGATTCAACAGGAGGGGCCATACCCCCACGTCTCAATGGGAAAAGTATCAAAGAAATTGTGGCCAGCTGTAATCGACCTCAGCGGCCGCAGGAACTAAACATGCTAATACACATGAAACACTTAGAGCACTGCCAGCACGCAGCAAGCACTAGACCCACGTCTGTTGTTGTTGTTGCCACCACGTTATCACCAGTGGTGCATTCAAGATCCACAAGGTCAGGGAAGCAGGACCTTTCACCCTTGATTGCCCACCTCCCTCCACGACCTTTCCAGATAAAGGGGTGGTCCCCATTACAAAGAGGAAGATGTAACACTCCCCTGCTACCTCAACCTGGCACAACAACTCTGGCCAAGACCAGCCCGCAGCCTGATGGGGCTCCTGAAGGAGATGTGCAGGTAAGGGAAAGGCTGTGCCCTTGTCTGGCACCTGCATCCAACACCACCTGCTTCACCCATCTGCAGCCCTGACTCACAGCACAGAGGCTTGTGTGGAACACATCCAGCTGTGATGGCCTCCTTTGTAGAACACTCTGCTCCAAGGTTTCCGGGTAAATAAAGCCTACAAGGAAGAAGAAAGATCGGGGTGCCTGGTGGCTCAGTCGGCTCAGGTCATGATCTCACAGTTCATGAGTTCAAGACCCGCATTGGGCTCTGTGCTGTCAGCACAGAAACCGCTTCAGTTTCTCCTTTCCTCTCTCTCTCTCTGCCCCTTTCTCTCTCTCTCTCTCTCTCTCTCTCTCTCTCTCTCTGTCTCAAAAATAAACAAACAGTTGGGGTGCCTGGGTGGTTCAGTCGGTTCAGCCTCCAACTTCGGCCCAGGTCATGATCTCACAATTCGTGAGTTTGAGCCCCACGTTGGACTCTGTGCTGACAGCTCAGAGGCTGGAGCCTGCTTCAGAATCTGTGTCTCCCTCTCTCTCTGCTCCTCCCCTGTTCTCTCTCTCTCTCTCTCTCTCTCTGTCTCTCTCTCTGTCTCTCTCTCTGTCTCAAAAATGAATGAATATTAAAATTTTTTTAAATAAATAAAAATAAAGGGTTAAAATAAAAGAAGGAAGATTGTACTTTCCAGCTGTGCCTCTTGTCCTTTATGGTAAATATTTCCTATCCCTTCCTTCCCTCCCATCAAGATGAATGTATGCAGAGTCACATACACTTGCATTTACCCACTCACACATTGAACAAACACTTACTAAGCACCTACAGTGTATACAGAGCTGAACAAGACACACAAATCTTTCCGATATAAAGCTAATATTTTAATGGAGGGAGCCAGATAATAAACAAGTATGTAAGGAGGTAAACATGTGAAATATGTGATCACTGCTCTAAGTCAAAGCAGGTCACCTGATAAAGGGAACTAACTGCAGAAGCCTCTTTCACTCTGGTAGTTTTGGAAGGGTTCTTTAAGGTTACTGGAGTTTGGATCTAAGAAATGAGAATATGCTAGCCTCTTGAAAACCTCGGGAAGGGGCACCTGGGTGGTTCAGTTGGTTAAGAGGGTGACTCCTGATTTCGGCTTAGGTCATGATGTCACGGTCATGAGTTCAAGCCCCACATTGGGCTCTGCACTCACAGCACAGAGCCTGCTTCAGATCCTCTGTCTCCCTCTCTCTCTGCCCCTCCCTGGTCACCCTCTCTCTCTCTCAAAAATAAATAAACATTAAAAAAATATTTTTTTTTGAAACCTTGGGAGGAGAATTCTAAGCAACATGGACACCAAAGGCGAAGATACTGAGGTGAGAAAGGGTTTAATGTGTCTCAGGTCCAGGGCTGAGGGTAGAAAGGAAAATGGTTTGGGAGAAGGCTCAAGTGTAGACAGGAGTAGGTCCTGCGGGACAAGCTAGCCCAGAAACCCAACTTAAACAGGGAATGTGTTGGCTCAGCTGAGAAGTTGAGGCATGGCGTGGGACTGACTTGGCTCAACAGAGTCAATGGGACTTGCCCACTTGACATGGTAAGTTAGATGGGTTCCCAGAGGTCCAAGTGGTCACCATCTTTGCAGCCAGCATTCCCCACCGTTCCTGCAAAATACCTGGGCTTCAGTATTCCTGGATCAACTCAGGAGACGGACTCATCTCTGAGCCAGTCATTGTGACATAGGGAAAGAATATGCTGACTGTCCATGCTGGGGTTGCATGCCGACTCCCGGACACAGCGGGTGGAGGGAAGTCAGCCTGCCCAGAGCACCTGCGGTAAGAATCAGGGAGAGAAGAATTCCCCAAAGGAAAATGGAGAAGCAGCTCTCAGAAGAAGGTGCACAGATAGTGAACAGGCATAGGGTGGTGGTGGGGGGGAGGGGGAAGTTTCCATAAAGCAGGACCATGTAGACCATGGCAAGGAGCTGGGTAAGAAGCTAAGTACACTAGGAAGCCATGAGAGGGTTTTAAGCAAAGGAGTGGGAGGCAATCTGCTGGCATTTGATAACATTTCAAAAAGATTATTTTGGCCACTAGGTAGAGACAGGGTTACAAGAATCTAAGCCTGGAAGCACTGAGATCAGGGGACTATTACAGAATGACAGGCTGAAGAGGTAGGTGCCTTGAACGTGGGTATATGGGTGACAGCACGGAGTCAGAGAAACGTGAACAGAGCTGAGACACTCTTGTGGGGAAAGCTGATGTCTATAATCGATGGAGGAGAGTCAGCGGAGTAAGTGAAAGAAGTCAAGCGTGAATCCCAGGGTTCTGGCTTTGTCACCTGGGTGAATCATGAGGCCATTTGCCAAGAGGGGAAAGACATGGGATGTGGGAGGGCAGGGACAAGTCAGGAAAGTGAAAACCAGGAGGTCCATTGTGGGTGTGTTCCGTGTGAAATTCTGGTGGGATTATCAAGGGGAGACATTGACAAGGTCATTAGATGAGCGGGTCTGGAATATAGAAGAAAGGTCTGTGCTTGAGTTATATAAATCCAGGAACCATCAGCACACAGATAGTATTTAAATGTGCAGGACTAAATGAGATCACTTGGGAGCACATACAGTTGACCTTGAACAACATGGGTTCGAACTGCTAAGTTGCTTATTGTTGGATTTTGGGGGGTGGGGAGGTAAATGCAGCACAGTACTGTGAATGCATTTTCTCTTCCTTATGATTTTCGTTAATTTTTTTTTTAATGTTTTATTTATTTTTGAGAGAGATACAGAGCATGAGTAGGGTAGGGGCAGAGCCTGCTGGAATCAGGTTCCAGGCTCTGAGCTGTCAGCACAGAGCCCAATGCTGGGTTTGAACTCACCAACTGTCAGATCGTGACCTGAGCCAAAGGCAGACACTTAACAGACTGAACCTCCAGGCACCCCCGCCATTATGATTTTCTTAATAACATTTTCTTTTCTCTAGCTTACTTTATTGTGGGAATACAGTATAGAATACATAGGACATACAAAATGTGTTAATTGACTGTTTGCGTTATTGGTAAGGCTTCCGGGCAACAGTAGGCTATTAGTAGTTAAGTAGTGGGGAGTCAAAAGTTATACATGAATTTTTCACTGCATGCTGGGGCGGGGGAGGGGGGGACTTGGTGCCCTTAATCCCTACATTGTTCAAGGGCCAGGTGTAGACAGAGAAAAGGAGGAGGCTTTCATGCTAATTTCCCAACAAAACTGCCACTCTGTTCAAACTGGTTTACTTGGGTTCTAGGCAAATATAGGCTCTTCCACCCCTGGATATGTGTGTGCGTGTGTGTGCCCGTGTGTGTGCGCATGCACGTGTGTGCACCATTCCTTCTATCTGCAATGCTTCTGCTCACCCCTGAAGACTCATTCTTTAAAAATCAGCTTCAACATCACCTCCCCAGGAACATTTGCCTTATTAGCTCCACTGCAAATGCCAGCCCCTTGCATCCTATGATTTTCATTATCTGTTTACCATACATTTGGCATTTACAAAACATTGTCTTATGTTCTGTGTGTATATTACATTTCCCCTAAAGAGATGATAAGCCCTTAGAAGGCAGCCTTCAAGCCTTTGGACTCCCAACACGGGGCAAGTTGCCCCAAAAAAGAGTTAAAACAAAGATCTGTCGATCGATGCCAACATCCGCTCATACTTTCTTTTGGTGTTTTTGTTCCAGTGGCTGGGAATTCATGTCAAACTCCTACGCGTGGTGAGACAGGGGCTCAGCAAGGGTGTCCCAATCAACCCCCTGAGAACGAGGGAGGCAGCAATTGTTCACTGCTTTAAAATACTTGTGGCAAATAAAGGGAATATGACTCAATCCATATTGAAAAGAACCAGATGAAAGTAGTTCCCCACAGAGGAAAACCAAAGAATTAAAATGAAAGCCTATGAACCACTTCAACTATTTCTGCATCTATCCCCGAATAATATTCCACCCAAGTGGAACACATCTCAGTGTGTTTGCACCCGTTTAACACTCCCTCCTCCTTTCCCAGCCCGGGTTCCACAACTCCCAGCTTAGCGTCATCCCAAAATGTTTGCAGGTGGTTGGACTGGATTCCCAAGCTCCAGATGGCTCAGTCAGCACTGGAGAATCTGGAGAGCCCCGCATTCTCGTGCTTTTCTGGTTGCACCACAAAAGACCTTCCCATCCAGCCTCCTCCCCAAACGACCCCTCAGTTTTCCACGTGTGCTTGACTTAACCTGAGTCCCAACGGTCTCCGGCTCTTCCCGAGGCCCTCCATCTGCCCTCTCCTTGCTCTTCTGCCCACAACAGGGTTCTCCAATGAGGCAAATCACCCCTCCAACCCCACGAACACCCTCGGGTCTGTGAACTCCAGTGGCCGTGACAATATTGAAGAGAAACTGAGCAGGTGTGATGCCGGTTTCCAAAGTTGACCTGCTGCTGATTGAGTCATATCTGCCTGTCTTCCGGAGGTTGTATTACGTTCCCCTTCTGACTCATGTCACTTCAAAACTTGTATAACTTGAATCTGCCAGGTGAACATGACCCTTCATTTTTTGCCTCTGGGTCTTCCAGCAGCAGCCGGCTCCCGGGGCTCAACCTACAGACACCATGCAGTGAACCCACCTGAGAACAGAATCCCTGGACCTACCATTTAAAGACTGCTGCATGGGGGCACCTGGGTGGCTCAGTTGGTTAAGCATTTAACTTCAGCTCAGGCCATGATCTTGAGGCTCTCGAGTTCAAGCCCCATGTGGGGCTCTGTGCTGACAGCACAGAGCCTGCTTCAGATCCTCAATCCCTCTGTCTTTGCCTCTCTCGTTCTCTCTCTCAAATATAAACTTTAAAAAATTAATGGGGCACCTGGGTGAGCGTCCGACTTTGACTCAGGTCATGGGGGGCACCTGGGTCTTGCGTTCGCAGGTTCGAGCGCCTGTATCAGGCTCCGTGCTGACAGCTCAGAGCCTGGAGCCTGCTTCTGATTCTGTGTCTCCCTCTCTCTCTCTGCCCCTCCCCTGCTCATGCTCTGTCTCTGTCTCTCAAAAAATAAAATAAAATGTTAAAAAAAAAGTTTAAAAATTAAAAAAAAAAAACTGCTGCATGATCTGCTAGTTAGACGGAGCCTGCTTTCTTACTTGAAAAATTAGGCTTAAGAACACTTTGAAGTATTGTCATGATGATTACATGAGATAGCATGAGGGAAGGGTCTGGAATCAAACCTGGCATCGAAGTAGGGGCTCAGCAAACATGAAGTTGAATCTGCCATTTGTATAGGACCCAAAACTGGGCAAATATTGACAATTTCATATGACTCAACCTGCCACGAGCCTTCTAGTCAAGCACTGAGGACATTAGTATTCAACTGGCTGGAGTGTTGGGACCAGAGGAGGTGGGATTTTAGGGATGGAACCTCAGAGATGACTTTCAAAGATTCATTTAAATCATCAATGATTTATTTAAATCCTCAAAGAATCAAGGAATGCCAGAATCCAGCAAGAGGCTTTAAAATGCCAGGAGATTTTCTGGACTCTGAGCTACTTAAGCAAAACTCATTTAAAGAGCTAGGATAACAATGTGGTTAGGAGCCTAGATTCTGGGGACAGATTTCCTGAGCTCAAATCCCAGCTCTGCTACTCATCAGCTTTTTGACCTGGAGCAAGTTTGTTGGCTAATTGGAGTCTCAATGTTTTCCTCCAGGACTCAGGATTGTACTGGGTTGCTATGGAGACTAAGTAAGTTAATATATGTGAAGTTCTTAGAACACTGAAGTGTTAACTGTCATTAACTTGATTTAAAATAGGTGGTATGTAGGGGCACCTGGGTGGCTCCATCTCTTAAGCATCTGACTTCAGCTCAGGTCATGATCTCACAGCTCATGAGTTTGAGCCCCACATCGGGCTCTGTGCTGATGGCTCAGAGCCTGGAGCCTGCTTCGAATTCTGTGACCCTGTCTCTCTCTCTCTCTGTCCCTACTCTGCTCGTGCTCTGTTTCTCTCCCTCTCTCTCTAAAAAATAAACATTAAAAATTTTTTTTTAAATAGGTGGTATGTACTGACCGGAGACCCAAGATTGGAAATTCGAATTCCAGCAATGAGAAACCAGCCTCCTTCCTCTTCTAGCGCCGTTCCAGGACAGCAGCTGAGACACCCCTTGGGAAGTTCAAAGATGGTGGATGTCACCACCCAGGAGAGCTCAGGGAGGGTCCTCCCAGCCAGCGGCATTGCATCCAGTCCTTCCAGGTGCTTCGAGAGAAGGGCCGAGAACTTTAGTCACCCAGAGCAGAAGTGACTCAGGCGCACCTGCAGAATCCAATGGAGGAGAAGTGACGAGGGATGAAAAGGAAGGGAGATCGAACGGCCACACACCACGAAGAAGCGGACACAGCTCATGCTAGAGGGGAATGAAAGCATTAGTCGAATTCACGGTTTACTTAGAAAGTCAGATTCGGACAAAGACATCATAAGGAAAATGATAACGATGTCCTACAGGTTTTCCCATAACTACTTTCATGTGTATTACCTGATGACATCCATCCAAAACAAAAACAAAAACAAAAATAAAAAAACCAAAAAGTAAAACCCTATGAGGCAGGTAGCAAAGCTAGCATTGTATTTGAAGATGAGCAATTAGGGGCGCTGAGTGGCTCAGTCTGTTGTTCAGCATCCAACTTTTGGTTTCAGCTCAGGTTGTGATTTCACAGTTTGGGAGTTCGAGCCCCACATGGGGCTCTGCACTGACAGCACACAGCCTACTTGGGATTCTCTCTCTCCCTCCCTCTCTCTCTCTCTCTCTCTCTCTGCCCTTCCCTGCTCATGCTTTCTCTCTCTCTCTCTCTCTCTCAAAATAAATGACCATTAAAAAAAAATTTTAAAGATGAGCAACGGAAGGATCCGGGAGCTTCAATGACTTATCCAAGCCTACTTGCCCAGTAGGTGATGGAGCTGGAATTTGAGCCCCTTAAAGTCAGAGCCACATTTATCTTTGTCTCCCTAGCGCCAGCCACTAAGGTCAAGTTTACTGAGTGAATGGGCTCAAATGGGCTGGAACACAGACTCACGCTCTCAGGCTGGTCCTGGATCTCAGGCAATGACTCAGATGCTCATGCTTTGCAGATTCCCAAACCCACAGCTGGACAGTCACTCAGAGGCAGTGAAGGGGTGGGGGGTGGGTAAAGGGACAGGGTTTCAACAGTTTGTGCCAGAACAGATTAGGTATCTCGTACACATAATCAGCATGCATATGTCCCTTTTCCATAGCCCTAATGACAAGCGAGACTATCCAGCCACAGCTCTCAGGCTGCCATTTATAACCCATTTGCTCATGAGGGATAAAGCCTGCCTTATAAGGTGGTTTTGAGGTCCTTCCTCTTCGTGTGTGTGTGTGTGTGTGTGTGTGTGTGTGTTTGTAGATACATACAGGTATATACATTTACTTATCAGGCACACCATCGATTTGCCCCACATCTTATTAGAGACAGATCTGGACAGAGTACTTAAAGATCTCAAGAGAAAGGGGCACCTGGGTGGCCTGGTTGTTGAAGTGTCTGACTTCAGCTCCAGTCATGATCTCATGGCTGGTGAGTTCAAGCTCTGCATCACACCCTGTGCTGATAGTGCGGAGCCTGCCTGGGACTCTCTCTCTCTCTCCCTCTCTCTCTCTCTCTCTCTCATTCTCTCTCAAAAAAATAAATAAATAAACTTAAAAAAAAAATCTCAGGGCGCCTGGGTGGCTCAGTCAGTTGAACGTCTGACTTCAGCTCAGGTCGTGATCTCGCGGTCCGTGAGTTCGAGCCCCGTGTGGGCTCTGTGCTGACAACTCGGAGCCTGGAGCCTGCTTCAGATTCTTTGTCTCCCTCTCTCTCTGCCCCTCTCCCACTCACACTCTGTCTCTCTCTCTCTCAAAAATAAATAAACATTAAAAAAAATTTTTTTTAAAAAGGATATTCTTTCTCCCTTCCAAAGCAGTGGAGATTTCACTGCTAAGTGTCCAAGCCCCTCTTCTGTTCCAAAGAGTTTGGGGGGATTCTGAGCCATTGGAAGGATGAGAGGAGGAGGCGTTTCTCCAAATGGAGTATGTTTGATGAAGCACCAGGGAGTCTGGAGGCATCGCCATTGCCTGCAAGATAGATGGCCCCTGTGCTATCTGCTGTTAACTAGTGGTCCCTCAGTGGTGGCACATACAGTGACAGACGCAGGAATGCAATGCTGGCAAAACTTCCAAGAGCCTGAGTCCTGGTGACAGACGATGCTTGCTCCCAAGAGACAAACATTTGCAGATTTCATTCGCTGGCTCGCTAGTCAGTGATTCTAATCTGTCTACCACAACGGAGAAAGCCCTCAGGGTATAAATTGATGTAGCTCATTGTTGCTCTCTTGAATCCTTTAGAATTTCCTCTTTATCTTTCTGAAGTGTTGCCCACGTTGTGAAAGAGGGTATGTGTGTTACTGTGTTCTTCTCATTCTGCAACCGTAGGAACTCATATTCTTTCGTTTCTTTTGACCTCTCCCCTTTACTCTCTCTGTTCTCTTTTTTGTGAAACTCTTACTAGAAGCCGTTGGGACTGCTGGATCTGCTTCGACATCTCTTTGCTGTTCCCTCCTATTTTTTTCTCTTTGTCCTTTTGCGTTATGTAATGGGGTTGATTTTTCAGGTCAATCGGCAAGCTCACGAATTTGCTTTTCATGTGTGTCCCTTGTGCCCTTCATCTGAGGAATACTAGTAGTGACAGACCTAACATGAAAAATGTACAATGTTGCGGAACGTCATAATGAACAAAATAAAATGGAGAGGGGGCGCCTGGGTGGCTCAGTCAGTTAAGTGTCCGACTTTAGCTCAGGTCATGATCTCACAGTTGGTGAGTTCGAGCCCCGCATCGAGCTCTCTGCTGTCAGCACAGAGCCCGCTTTGGGTAGTTTGTCTCCCTCTGTCTCTCTGCGCCTCCACTCTTTGCACTCTCTCAAAAATAAATAAACATTAAAATAAATAAACAAAATAAAAATAAATGGAGAGATTTACCATGTTCTCAAATAGGAAGACGCAGTAACATAGAATTGTCCCTTCTTAACCTAGACATTCAAAAGTAATCCTGGTAAAACCTTAAGAACATTGTTTTTGATAGACAGGCCATCTAGAGTTGATTGGGATATGTGTGAAGTAGGAAGATTATTGTCTCCTCTCCTGCTGGAGACTCCACTACGTTGAGAGTAAGGCAACTAGGATGACAAAAGAAGGTAGAAACCTGTAAAGAGATGCAATTTTGGAAGACGGAACTGGATGGGGGAGAGGTGACTGATTGTAGCATGCGAAGGAAGTAATGAGCCAAGTCACCTGGAGGGGAATGACCGCTAATAAGTGAGCCAAATCACCGCAAAGGAAAACCTGAGATGCTCAGCTTTGGAGACGGCAGGTTCAGTGAAAGGCTGGGTTGAAGTGCGGAGCTAAAAATCGGCGTTGCTCGAAGCTTGTCAATGGAGTAGCCATATCCTTCCTCCACCTCAGGCAGTCAGGCTACTAATCTCCCAGACCAAGGATTGAAGAGTTCTTTTCTGTTTAATTTAATGGGCAAGGCTGAGACTCAGGCTTACGCAAATGGAGACAGCAGAGGGGAGGCACACAGAATTCTGCAAAAGAAATGGTTGAACTGCATGGTTCCCTTTCCCCAAATTGCGCTCCATATGCTGACAGGTGCATAAAGAAGATCAGAAGATTCTCTCTCTCTCTCTCTCTCTCTCTCTCTCTCTCTCTTTGTACAAACTAAATGGCCCTAAGGATGAAGCTTCCATTTTTGTCTTTTCTTCCTCCCTCCCTCTTCCTTCCTTCCTTCCTTCCTTCCTTCCTTCCTTCCTTCCCTCCCTCCTTCCTTTTTCTTTCTTTCTCTTTCCTTTCTTTTCTTGCTTTCTTGCTTCTTATGAACACTCTGTTCAATCACCCCTAAATGTAGCCCAGAGGTCAACAAATCCCGTCCACACACTCAGGCCCTCCAAACAATATTTGAGAGGCTCACTCTTAGATAGAATCAGAGTGCCAACCCTCCCAAACTATTGATGAGAACCTCCAGCACGAAAGAGAAAGACCAATGCAAGAATAAAGAAAAAAAAAAGAAGAAATCTCGAGAAAACAAACGGAAGGGGATATAAGATTTCCTTACAACACTAGGGAAATAAGTGAAGAAACTGTATCCTTATACCCAGAAATAGAGGTGATATAAAAGGATAAAATCAAAGAACAAGAAGTCAAATTTTCTGCTGGAAATAAAAACTTAATCAAAATCCAATATTCAATAGGAAGGTTGGAGGAAGAAGCTGAGGAAATCTCCCAAGAACTGGCACAAAAAGACATAGCACTAAAAATTAGGAAAGGAAAGAAAAGTAATGTAGAGGATGAATATAAGAGGAGGCACTAGCCAAGCAAAATGATTTCTTAAGAAAGAGAAGGGAGAAAACAGAGAGGTGGGAAACACAGAAGTAACACAGCAATAAAATTTCTAGCGCTGAAAACAATAAATCTCCAGGTTGCAAGTACCTCTTCTATGCCCAAGAAAATGGATGAAATAACCCATACCAAAGTACGTAAGTTGTGAGATGTCTGAGTTCTGGGGGAAAAGAGAAGATCCTAATGGTTCCCCTGAGGAGAAAAAAAAAAAAAGCCATTTACAAGGAAAACAGACAGGAGGTAGAAATAGGATTATTCACAGCTACAATGAATGTTAGAGACCAATAAGGTGGTGCCTTCAAGTATTTAAAGGAAAATTAAGTTTTAGCCTAGATTTCAAATCCTGGCCAAATTGTAATTTCAGGGAGTGGATAAAATGGACATTTTCAGGAGGGTAAGAACTGTAAAATACTCCCCTTGTTCCTTACAAAAAGCAAGTAGAGAACTTTCCACTCTCTGGATTGTAGGCTATAACAACCTTCCCGCTGAGGTCAACTAAAACAGTTGTAGGGATGGGCGTCTGAGTGGCTCAGTTGGCTAAGCATCTGACTTCGGCTCAGGTCATGATCTCGCAGTTCATGAGTTCGAGTCCTGTGTCGGGCTCTGTGCTGACAGCTCGGAGCCTGGAGCCTGCTTCTGATTCTGTGCCTCCCTCTCTCTCTGCTCCTCCCCTGCTCACGCTCTGTCCCTTTCTATGTCTCAAAAATAATAAATAAATGATTTTTTTAAAAAAGGAAGTAACAAAATAAAACATTCCTGGGAGTGGAAGCAGCATGGATACTTCCGCGTGCGTGCACACACACACACACACACACACACACAATCAAAAAACAAAACAAAACAAAAAAAACAGTTGTAGGGAAACAAT